AAAATTAACCCCATTTTTAGTCGGAGACTACGTGATGGTCAGTTCTCCTTATGTTGACCGGGACGACTAGCTCCTAGAACTGTAATAGCAGTTGTTGTTTATAGGACCAATGACGCCTTTGCCCTTGGTACTGATACAAAACATGAAGTTCTGTACAAACAGTTCTCAAAAACAGCTATACAGATGGCACCAAATAAATTTTTGCACCAAAGATGTACCTGATTACCAACTAAATGTACGCAAAACAGCAATTGTGTCAACCGGATCGAAAAAAGGTTTCATTAGATGTAAGAGGAGTAAGAGGAATTGTTTAAATAAATCGTGAAAATGTATTAAGTTATAAATTGTTTAAAATGCAATTCTATACGGCATCTTCTTTAGCACATCTTGTGCCAACAAGTAAAATACAAATGTAACAAGAACTGTATAATAGGCCATTTTAAGATTGCTCTTATAAGGGAAACAATTATGTCTGTGTATTTGTAATGGGCTTTTTTATATATTTTTCCTATTTGGTAATTCGGTGTTAACCTTTAATTTTCTAAAATGTTATTTATACTCGTACAATGGATAAATATGATTCAAAATAAAAAATTTATTTTCCTACAGTTACCTAACAATGTACATGTTCTCTCACTGATTTGAGAAAGCAAAGTGGCCAATTCATTCATCAGTGAGACAATGTTAACATTGTCTCACTCTAATTACTTTGTCTCACTCACTGCAGATGTGAAGGCACGAAATAGTGAGTGCGTAACATGCAGACAAGGTCGTATGCGTGCGAAATACGTTGGCAGCACTGGCTGTAAATCTGTTGTACTGTTGTGTAATGGTCATATTAAAAGTTCACTTCTGTGTAAAAATATGTCACGTTTCTTTACCAATTTATTTGTTTTATAGTAACTGTAGGAAAAATATAATGTGCAACTCGAGTGCAAAGTGCAATTTCCTCACTCGAGAAACCATATTGGTAAGTATTTCTCTCGATTGAGTCAATTGCTCCCTTTGCTCACTAGTTGTACAAATAACTATTATTTTATCTAGTGATTGTGAATTAATATGTAGATTTTTTAAATGCGGCATTTTATTCAGGCTATTCCCCTCACGTGGGCGATCACTTTTCCTCACATCGCATTGTAAACATTTTGGATTTGTTCAAACGCCGAATAAATTTTTGACTTCGGCATTTGGGTAAATCAGTTTAATCACCGCAGTCCGGGCATTTCGCTTCGGCCAATGTTCGAATAACATGCTCACTCCGTGACTGGGTATTTCACACTATCTACTACGCGTCGCGAAGTGGGTAGAGATTTTGGACATTGTCCGAATTTGGAGTTTGAGTGTAACATATATAACTCAATTTTAGCTCTGTCTAGTGGAAAGATTTTAATTTATTCTTGCACCATTACACCTCAGGATTTAAAGCAAGCTCTATATTTTCACTGAAATTCAATTCTAATTGTGAATGCATCGTAGTTTGGTGTTTTCTATTTATATGTTTTTTTACTTAGATCTCATCTCTTAAAACACACACGGTAGATTGAAGAAGCTGTAATTAAACATTCTAAACTCAAATAAGCTATAACGTTGAACCGTTTAATTTAAACTTTAAAATAAAAAGAAACGTGTGGACTCTGGTAGTTAAAGAATTAGTCATTTAACACTTCCAACTTGGAAGTGACTCATTGCACATTTCTTGACTTAACTCATTGGTCAAACGAAGATCCTGTAAACAAGGTCTACAGTCTTGTACCTACTGACTGCACGAATTGATCCTTATAAAAAAAAAAATATTAATTCAAAAAATGTATTAATTCACGCTCCAAATAAACAGTACACGTAGAATCTTTTTAGTTTTTTAAACAGAGTTTTTAGGGTTACGTCTTATTGTTAGGTTGATTTTGGGGCATGTCCACATTCAACACTATTAGGTTACTACGGTAAAAATTAATCAGATATCACGTTCTAGATGGTTCTAGCTGTAATAATGTATGGGCAATCAGAAAACATTTGTAGCAATATTAATGCAGTCACAGCGATAGAATCATTTCAAACTCTCTGTTACAAACAAAAAATTGAAGAATGAAATAGATATTCATTGATTTAAATGTGCAAATGTGCTAAGATTGAGAAACGAGGTTTATTTCTTGAAGAAAAGAATCTGCTTAAGAGATTCGGGTTTAGTTTTGTAGCTATGAAAACATAAACTAAAGAGGAGTTCTGAACGGTCAAAGAAAACTTTTTGTAAAGTCCATAATATTGAAAATGTGTTAATACATCAACTAGGCTCAAACCAAAAATACATTTTTAAGGTCTCGTCCATTTCGTCCATTCCAGCAATTGGTGAGTCCTCACCAGTACAACCTCTTTGCTTGTCACTGCAACATCGCTGTGTACTATTGATAACTTATCATTGTACAACGTTTGCGTTTGCAGACTAGAGTTTACTTCCGTCATCGTGTGTTATCAGTCAAAGAAATTCCGGATTTGGTTAGATAATGTAAATAAAACATGTAGTAGGAATCGTAAAGTGTTTTTACATAATATTTTGTTACTTTTACCTATTTTATTTCCTGAAATATAAAAATATTATAATTTATTTTATGTCATAAATAAATCGAGTTATGAGTTTTGTACTAATTTTTCTGTGTAGTATACACAGAATGTATGATGTAAAGTATCGTATGTTACTCGCCCGGTAAGTTTTACCGTACTCGCACGAAAATGTCGTGCTCACACGGTAAAACACCACTTACTGGGCTAGTAACGTAATATACTATTGTATCATTAATTTAGTAGTTATTTTTTTATGGTATAAACTAATTAGCTTATTGAACTAGTTATTGGCTATAGATGGGCCTATGCTGACTGCAGTAGCTATTTGATGGTTGGACACTGGATTCAATCCTTAAGGGTCAGCGATATAATATAATGCAATGTAAGAATGTATAATGTATGCAAACGTCAATGGTTAGAGTAATTCAATAATATTCAACCCAGGTTGTATACACGTTAAAACTAAACTATCTTCAGTGAACTACTCTCGCGACAATCGTGTCAGCTGGGAGTTGTGACGTAATATTGACTGATGAACATCAGCTGGTCTCTGATTGGTCTACAATTGCCCCAGTCAAGTGGTCGGCGCGGCGGTCAGCTCGTGTGCTAAACGTGCAGTTTTAATTGTATCATTACCCGTTGTTAGGTTGAAAGTAATTTGCAACTATGTCGTGAGTGAGTTTTAAATACATCGATTTAGAGGGACTCGAGGTCAATAATTCTCCTTTTAAAATAGCTTCTATCAATGATCATGATGGATTATTAATTTTAATCTTGAGTTTTTAGACTTGTTCTAACCACAAACTCTTCGTGCTATTTATTTAAGATGTATCAAACGCAGTTTTTAAAGATTGTACAAACAGAATACTAAACACAAATTGGAAAATGGGGTTCCGGAGAAAACTTTTTTTTTTCAAATACTGTACAAATTGAAGGGGGCAGATTTTCATTAAAATATTACGCATATATTTATGTCAGCAAGTCAAATTAATGCATTAATTCAGGGTTTTAAGTAACCTCTGAAGATTTACCCCCCCTCCCAATATATATATATATATATATATATATATATATATATATATATATATATATATATTCTTCTTCCGTTCTTCTGGTTACCTATTTTTTATATCAATTGCATAATCGGTAACGAATCTTTCGTTGCAAACCTCGATTTCATTAGACTCTCACTTATCCAAGTTTGTTAGGTTTTTAACTGTTCCTCTTTCATGGTTCACTCACTTTACTTACGATTAGATATCTTTCCTATCACATTGCATTATTTTTCTATCAAGTATCAGATTTCCTTCAGTAATGGTCTTTAATGTGTTTTATTTTTTTATCCATTTAATCACTTTGATCTCTATATTCTTAATTTTCCTCTGATATTGCTTTCATTGTCTTTGAAACAATCTACTTCACTATGTATAATCCTTATTATATCTCTTTCGTTTTATATTGCATTCCAGTCTAATTCGTCATTAGTTCATTTATATTTTGCCACATTTAGTCATTCCCTTTCATTGAGATTTTATACGAGGTATTATATTGTAAATTCTCTCATTTCACAGATTTTACAACCCTATTTGCAGTTACTGATTTATTTTCCAACTAGCAGAGTACCCGTCCTTCGTACGGGGTTTGATAAATAAGTTGGTAAAATGCTTATTGCAGTTATACTCAAGCTTTGCGTTTGCAATGGGGGAGGACACAGTTTGATAAAATTTGCTTCTTTAAATTTACGGTATACTATGGTGTTACACATCTACTATAGCCATAATGTTCTACCACTTCACCTAAACAATAAAGAAAAATAAGTTATTAAAAATTTTCAAAAAATCACAAATTATTAATCACATTAAAGATTAAAAACATAAACATAACTGAAAACAATCCTACTTTGACAGTTCTCATTGAGTATCACAGTTTTTTGTTGCTGCTTTGTTCAAATTAGCTGATTAAATAAATGCAAAAAAATTTGTGCTGCACTCTGTTGCAGCACCTTATAACTTTTTAATGCTTTTGCATATCACAGAGCCATCTTTTTTAGTTGAAACAGCTGACTAAATTCTTTAATTACCTTTAAATATGAATACTCATAAGGTTAACATTGGGAACTACAGAGCCACTGGGGTGGAGCCTGAAAGGATTTTTGAGATAAGAATATGCCTATATATGTTAATCGGGAATGTGAGCCCAATCCGTCCAGTGGTTTATGCGTGATTGAGCTTCAAACAAACAAACAAACACACAATCTTTCACATTTATAATATTAGTAAGATTTCAATTCCCCTGGATTAGGTCATCCCATCCTCTTAATTTTTTTTTATCCTCCCATTCCACTTTCTAGGGTAGACCACCCCTCCAGGCAGATATTCAATCTCATACTGTTCCTTGTCCTCTGATCTATGTACTGTTTCCTAACAGTTGACCGGATGTTCCAGGTACCCGCCACCACGACACCGAGTACACGGAGCTGCTGTCCAGCCCCAGCAGGAAGCGGAAGAGAGGACAGAGTCGGAGGATGGTGGAAAGCGACCTGGCTAAGAAACAAATAGGTGAGGAAACCAGGTAATGCTCTGGTCCGTAGTGTTGTTTGCCAATGGTAAATGGGTTATAACTGAAGTGGTAATACTATGAAAATAACAAAGTATACAAATTGTTCTTAGAGGCTTCGTGAAGGTTTCTAATATTTGTCCATGTAATCTGGAAATTAGCAAGATATTCAAGGTAATACAAGGTTGGTCCATACAAAGTAATATGGTGATGTCTTAAGTTATTATGTATTTGGGATACCTTATCCAGTGTTTAGGTTTGCTTACTGAAAACAATAACACAGCATTGAGAATATCTTAAAGAATTTGCAATAACTAAACGCCACTACTCAAATTAGTTGTTAATTTGAAATTTGTAAATCCCAACAATACAGGAAGAACATGGCAAGCACACTCAAGAATTCTTACCACTAAAAATTCCATCCCTAAATGCTACAATCGACATAAACTGTTAGTATTGTTGGTGTTTCGTAAAATCAAATGTTATCAGTCAAAATATTTAATAAAAATAAAAAAATTAAAATAAAAAAATGGAAACAGACTTTTGTCCTTTAATTTTCCCAATGCTTAAAAAAATGGATCCACATAAGATAGTCCATAGTTAAAAAGCAAGAGCGTTGACCCGGAGGCTATTGTTTGGAAAAGAAGACGTTTCATAGATAAAATCGACTTAACGTATGATGATATAGTAACGCTTAGTTGGATCAGTTTTGAGAAGAAGGTAATGTACTTTAGAAACTAAAGCTAGAAATTACAAAGGCTTTCGTAATTAAATAAAAACATTTCCAAAATAGCTTTACTACCAGATCCTTGCGTTAGTGGTTTGAAAATGTTATTTAACTTTATAGGCTTATCTCCATCAGTAGTCAAAAATTGTGGATGGCGATATCGTGTTGCTTCGTGTTTAAGTCCCGTGTCCCGTGTCGTGTGTATAAGAACTGTCTTGTTTGTACATTTTGATGTTTTTGACGTGAAGCTCCGAAGATGCTGCATCACAACGAAACATCTCAGCTTGGAATAATAATTGAAGTTAGCCACAATATACAATTCATATGTAGTCCAGGGGCTATCAGAATGAATACTTTGTTATTAACTTTAAATTGACTTTTTTAACATATCGATTTTGGAATTATTTTCTTGTGGTGTTTTTATTGCAAAGGTTTCAGTTGTTTGATTTGGAACTAATATTTGTTCTACTTATCGAACAGTCTGTGATAGCTTAAAGTAAATCTACACCACACAACCAGATTCTGAAGTTATTTTATCTCCCTGACTAGATAGAATTCAGCCTTCACGCTACACAATGCAATTAGATGTCTACTAACTAGGACATGACCTGATTGGCAGTAAAGGATGCAGGATTAGAGGAGGCCCTGTGTCATGTTAATAGACGTAGTTTAACAATGAGAGATGGCGCCGGGCCTTGTCATCACTTGCACATTCCTACGTACTCATATTTCTGTATCATACCTCATGCACAGCGCACATGTAATCTGAAACTTTGTGTGAAACATGTTACATACACTATTTAAAATACAACAATATATAAGCAAACATGTTGACTGAAGCTTCTTACATAACTTGCATTTTTTTTAATTTCATTTGTACTGTAGTCAAATAATTGTATTTGCTGTCATTTTATTAGGATCATACTTACTTGTTGTTCAAAGAATTATTGCGGACATTTTCCATCACGATGGTAAAAAAAATACACAACGCTTCGGGAACTGGAATCTGATCCCGCCCTTAGGCGATAAAAAAACTTAACTAACGCATTACAACTAACAATACATAAACGCCTGGAATACACTACAAAAAGTAGCAGTAACAAATATGTACTGTATAGCAGTCAAGTCATGATACAACATGGAAATAAGAGCCGATCACAAAACACTATAGTCTATAAAATGTGTAGGGTAAACATCTCACACATCTACACGTAAATCTACACGTAGTTGAGCAGTAAACTGTTAAGGTTTTTACAAGTGCAAAACCGGATGAATCCTTGAATATTCAATAGGTGCAACGAATAGAAGGAAAAACGCTGTCGCTGAAGCGGCACGGAACAACAATCGTTGTAGTTGCGTAAAAAAAATGTTTGTATAACATTTTTCCGTGCAGTTTAGTTGTCGTGTGTTTAGTTGTTGTGTGTTATCGATGTATAATAACTCTACGGAGTTATTATACATCGATGAGTTGTCCTAGCTAACAGATTTTACTATTTTACATTTCCATATTTAAATTAGGGCTGTAAAAATTTCTGGTTATTTATGTTCATAAGTTGTGGATCCAGAATCTTTCTTTATTACAAAACATAACCTTAATACTTCAGTAAACATAAGGTAAGCTTGGTTAAAGGTAAATCGTTAGGAGTTTAAAAGTTTATGTTTACGTTTAACAGGTAAACATTAATTATTGGTGTTCTGGGTACAATTTAGTAATAAAAGGTCTCCCAGATATTCTTTTAATATTTTCGTACGTAAATATCAGTGGGACATACATGCTTTGTATGTCGATTGTCCAATGTATGATCTTATCTTACACAGTAAATCTGTAACAGTATTATTTTTCAGATGGAGGTGGAAAATCTCTAAATGGAAAAGCAGCAAGGGACCTTGAAACTGGAGGTAAGACACTTATTAACCGACATTCCGTTGTTCAATGCATAATCTGCTGTATTAAGTACTAGCTGTAATTTAATTTGTAGCGATTGGCAGTTTAATAACTAAAAGACTTATTATCCAGAAACGTGAAATATAATTGAAGAGGGGACCCGTGCTCAAAACCGTGCAGTTTAATTGGGGGCAAAACTTGTTTTTGAAGAAGATCCATTTAGCTTTTTAAGATTATCTTGGTTTAGAAAAGTTATACAGTGAATAGAACTATTAATTCACAGTAAATTTGTTGATATTAGATCCACGCTGAAAATGAGTGAGTTATACTTTGGTTTTTATGCAGCCAAATAGAAAGGGATGTTAAAAAATGGCAAGCACTTGATATGAGAGCCTCATGTCCTTTTTTAGTACATATAAAGATATTTAAAGCCGGTTGATACAAATTTAATGTCTACTTCAATTCCCATAGTCTTTGATACAATGGAAAAACCCCCAACGACTGACCTCATAGCTTGTTAACAATATAGAAAGGAATTTTAGTACTCACAAAAGTTCACAGGAATTTAGGTTTAAAGCTTGTTCCTTTGTTAAGGAAGCATAAGTAAATTCTTTGACCCCCTGGATTGAAAACTATTGTTTTGTTTTAACTTTATAGGTTTATTTTATAACTATATGTATACAGGGTGAATCTTCTAAGCTGTCCTAAACATATTACAGACGAACGGCTTGACATACAGAAATTAAACAAAACTTTTCCCCCCTAATTCATACCCAAGGAACAACGTAAAAATTTTTTTACCATTTTTTAAATACAGGGTGTTCAAGAAACTGGGGGTCATGGGTTCGAATCTCAGAGTTTTCAAATGTAAACAATTGTCATGATATGCATCATTTTAAAGCTCTAGACTAGACAAACAAATTAGTGAAAACAGAACTCATTTATCTTTGTCCATTTCAAAATGGCGGCCATTTTTTAAAAAAATATTGATATTTACAGAATACCCTGTATCTTGAAAACCACTAAACTTATTTTCGTTCTGTTTGAAAATTCGTAATCCTCGTAGGTTCAGCTTTAATTTTATATACGACAAGTCAACATTTAAAAAACTAAATGTTTTTTCTATGATTTAATTTTTTTTTAAGTTGGTAGCCTTGTAAATGAACATTTTTAAATGGCAACATATGTAAAAGTGTGTATAATTTTGAAGGTCTTGTAAAAACAAACAACTTTTAAATTTAAACCTACCGTCTATCTTTGGTCGTTTTATAGTAATTAACCAAAAACTTCAATTGCCCATATAAAACTCATGTTAAACGCGCAGTACCATGGGAATAGTGTATCTCCATCCACTAATCTTCAGTACTGCACATTTAACATGGGTTTTATATGGGCAATTGAAGTTTTTGGTTAATTACTATAAACCGACCAAAGATAGACGGTAGGTTTAAATTTAAAAGTTGTTTGTTTTTACAAGAACTTCAAAATTATACACACTTTTACATATGTTGCCATTTAAAAATGTTCATTTACAAGGCTACCAACTTTAAAAAAAAATTAAATCATAGAAAAAATATTTCGTTTTTTAAATGTTGACTTGTCGTATATCAAATTAAAGCTGAACCTACGAGGATTAAGAATTTTCAAACAGAACGAAAATAAGTTTAGTGGTTTTCAAGATACAGGGTATTCTGTAAATATCAATATTTTTTAAAAAAATGGCCGCCATTTTGAAATGGACAAAGATAAATGAGTTCTGTTTTCACTAATTTGTTTGTCTAGTCTAGAGCTTTAAAATGATGCATAACATGACATTTGTTTACATTTGAAAACTCTGAGATTCGAACCCATGACCCCCAGTTTCTTGAATACCCTGTATTTTAAAAATGGTAAAAACATTTTTATGTTGTTCCTTGGGTATGAATTAGTGGGGAAAAGTTTTGTTTCATCTCTGTATGTCAAGCCGTTCGTCTGTAATCTGTTTAGGATAGCTTAGAAGACTCACCCTGTATATTTAGAATACTTGGTGACTAAATGCGATATTGCTGTTTCAATTCAATTTTGACAACAAACTAAAAGAGTGTGTCCAAATGTCTAAATATAAATATTACGTGTTTTTGTTCAATTTAGTTGTTGAATGTTAATGTTTCATATATCTTATGTATAATTTCAAAATAAATAGTCTGATATTTGTGTATTATAATTGATTTCCGATATGCTTTTACAGTGGTGGCTGCGTTGCAAGAAAAAGCAGATCTTGAGTTTCACAGCACAGGCCGGGCTGACTTCGAAAGAGCCATTGAACAAACCGGTAAGGTAATTTATATTTAAATATTGTAAGAAAGAAAATTCTAATTACTATAGTGCAAACCTTAAACAAAACTAAATTGACCCTCAAATAGATCCTTAGAAACATGAGAGCATGTTGAACCAGAAAAAAATACTTGATCAAGATAATGAGTTTTATAAATTGTTTAAATGACAATGAGTACCTCTTGAAGATACTGAATCATTATAAAATTATATTTAAACTGTTTTACACTCAACTAGGGAATCGAACATTTCATGATTAGACCATAACAGATATTACATGGGGACGGAGTTACAACAGTGGGGGTTTTTAAGCTTCCTTATCTTTTTGGCACCTCGTTTCATTTATACCAATTACAAAATTCACAAAACTCGCAAAATTCACAAAATTTAGGGGGTTTTAGGAGAATAAATCTATCCCCTCCACGTGATCCTACCTTTGAATAAGGTATAAGGCTACTTGATAAGGTTTGCCAAAATATCAATCAGCAGCAACATACATGTGTAGGTGGGAGAACTTTCCTTCAAACTACCTACGTTTTGTGGACGGACTATAGTAGCCTATAATTGTGACGATGGTTTACAGGCTATGGAAAGTTTCACTACTTCCTGCTCACCGTGTGTGGCTTTGTCAGCACCAGTGAGGAGATGGACGTAATCTCCATGTCCTTCATCCTGCCTTCCTCCCAGTGCGACCTGGACCTCAACACTCACACCAAGGGCTGGCTCAACAGTATTATATTTGTGGGTCAGTACAGCTCTTGAACTTGTTCATAGTGATTCCTAAATACTAAGGTATTTGATTTAAAATAAAATGATATGATTTTTATTCAAAGTTTCATAAGCTTATAGGTTGTATCAACTATAACTAATTAAGGTAGGTTTTTATGGTCTAAAGATACCGCCGAGGTAATCCGTTGAAGGTTAAAATTTAAAAGTTATTTATTGTATGGTTACAATAAAATAACCCGGTTACTGACGAACAATAGAAACACTAATATATAGAGTGGCAGTAATAGAATTTCTAAATATTTTGTAACTGTACCGCATTAAAATATACGAGTACTTTTCGATATTTGGCAAACCCACTACGTCTGGGGTTTTGAATAGTTTTACTTCTTATCTGTTATAAGTAATTTTCTCTTATAGTAAACAGTCTGATTTGCTGTGTATTCTAATTACTCCTGGATATTCTGTGTATTTCAAACAGCCCGTCATATTAGGGCGAACCAACATTGTATTTTACACGATAAAAATATTTTCACGATTTCCCTATCTATATAATTAATATGCTACATGAAACTTTGTCGGTTGAACTCCTCCGCCATTTCTTAACCGATTTTATCCATTGACGTCTCATTGGAAAGAGCGTGTCGCGTAGATTTGCAAACGGACCTTACAGCCCCAGTGGCTTTGAAAGTTCCTATATTATCCTTATGGAGAACATAATTGTTTACAATTTGATCAGCTGTATAATTTAGTTGCTGTTATTTATTTTTCGATTCAATGAAACGTATTGACGTCACACTAGTGGATAGATTTCATTGATAAATTCATTGCCGTCACCATTCCCATATGTTTTAGGTAAATAAACAAGCTGGTTGTTTGTAAGATTGTGATGGTAAGAGTTTAGTACAACTATCCACCACTGTGATGTAGTGTTGTGCTACCCGCGCTGCAGCATGGCCTGTTTTTTCTAGTGGGGCCTTGAACGTATTCAGTACATTTATTTACTATTTGAGTTTTTGTCAACATAACCCCCAAGACGGATCGTGTTAGTATGGCTGTATCTTAAATTTGTGTATTTATCGTAATTTTTTGTCGCTATAATTCGTTTATTTGATGTTTTTTCTTTTAAATGCCTCCAACGCGACGACAACGAAACATAGACAGGAGGCGTAATCGTAATAACGACCGCAGCTACAGAACAGTGGCACCTAATAGGCTTAACTCATCACAGTCAGTACCTGACCATGGTCAATCTCAACTGTTAGGTTATAAATGCGACCTAACATTACCCCAAATCGACTTTTCGTTCTCAATTGGCCCTCTATCAATGATCTGTGTACAGCGAAGCATTTTGAGAAGCAGAAAACCGACCGGAATGCTTTAGGTTTATCAATAACGAAGATAAACATGGTCTGAGTTACACACCGATAATCTTTGAGTTGAATCTTTTAAACTCATTATAAATATGACTGTTATTCGTTTTGAAATAACTCCTGTAATACTTTGCAATTGCTCGAATTCGAGCAACATGTTCACTAGTAAGAAATAAATTCGTGTCGTTCATTATAGACTATGTTATACAACTTGTTAATCAACTATTGTTTCAAATAATCAACTATTGTTTCAAATAATCAACTATTGTTTCAAATAACCAACTTTACTATACATTATTGTACAACCTATTGGGTTTTATATGCACGTATAGACATTGGAACTCACAAACTCTATACAGTAGACTCTCAGTAAACCGGTAAAAGACGCCGGATTACTGGGGTGCCGGAGTGGTGCTGTACCGGATTAGAGAGGGTCTACTGTACTAGCAAAATAAAAGAAAAATGTGCATCGAAGTGTCTACTTTTGTTCCTGGCCGTAGTGCATGCATTAGGGGTACGAAAATGAAGTAACATATAGTGAACCGATACTAAATTTTCACATACTACTGGCAGTAGGGCGGATAGATAAGATAGTGCAATGTAAATGCTATGTCTGCAATCAGCTGTTAATGAAAACATTAATAAATCAATATTATTTTCTAGGTATGATGGCTGGTGCCTACGTGTGGGGTAGTGTTGCCGATACGCTTGGTAGGAGAAAAGTATTGATAGTCATATCCTTCATGAACGCCCTCTGCATAGTCGCCTCGAGCTTTAGTCAGTCGTACGCACTCTTCATGATATTCAGGTTTCTCAACGGAGCTGCGTAAGTTGTAATCATTGATATTATTTTGTTATCACAGACAATTAATGTTCAGTTTATTATTCTTATACATCTTAGTTAGAAATATTTGTAATAAAAGAGAATTCTGAGCTAATACAGTATCCATGAAAACTAACAAAGGGGTTATCATTATGATGTATAACCTATAGTACAAGTAATTATGCCACAGATCCACCTTTTTTGCGGTCTTTTGAGGTTTGAGGATTGTCTTTTATAGTTTTGATAATTGCAGACATTTTAAAAAGATTAATTTTAACTAATTGTATCTTGTTATTAAGTAAAGACTGTTAAGAAACTGGCTTGATTTAAGTACCTATAGTCAGTAATTAATGCAAGTTCACTGTATGATATTGGCTATAATTTATTTTGGTGACTTAATTAAAAGTAAATAAATTCCAACAATATTGGTAACAAATAACCCGTAAAACAACATACTAATAATAATCCTTACTTACTGAAACAAGCATAAAGTGAATAAATAGAACAATCTTTCCCGGTGAAAAGGTGACAGATTATTTTAACCTAAGCTGATTTTATTTTTCAAAAGACTCACTATTAATCGCAGCGAGAGCAAGGGGAAATCTCTGGACAATTTACGTCACTTATCTGTAATTGAATTAATTGTGTTTAACCACTTCACCCAAACTGAGAATTCTTTAAATTCACTGATAAACTGTATTGTATGAAGAATTTAATTAATTTTGATTTGATGAGACAAATCATTAAGCCTGATCCTATTGATGTTGGATTGTATAATTTGTTCTCACTCAAATTAATGTTTTCCTTTTATAAAGTTAATTGATATTTGAGTCTTCTTTTGATGGAAACATTTTGAGTGAAATTAAATGTTTTATTACACCCTTGACTTTTGTGGCATTTTATTGTTTATTTGGCACGTAATCAATTTACCAAGGTAGCTCGCAAAACATTTACGGCTTAATATGGAATTAAGATAAGGTGGGTAGTTAATATGTATAGCTTTCTCTTTAATTAAAAAGTTTTACATATTTTAAACTGTGAAATGCTACTTTTACAGCTTTAAATGCTAATAACCAAGGATAGTTGGACTCATTTTCGAACTATAAATCTACTGACTTTACTCAGAATCAAATCTGCATCCTTCTGATTACTAGACATTCACTGTAACCACTCGTCTATCTATAATTGACACCTTTTGACCTATTTACTAGTACACATTCGTGTGGGGAGCGAGCTGGTCTAGTGGTTAGAGCGTGGGACTTCGGTTCCAGAGGTCCCGGGTTAGAATCCAACCAAATCACCAATGGGTTTTATCTATGTGATAATGCCGCAAACCCTAGGTCTAGCCTGAAGTAATGCGAAAAACAATTCCGGGCTCGTGCCTAGCTTCCTAGGTAAAAAAGTATATATTCGTGTGAGAAATGTCACCAATATTCACCAGAAGGTACTAATTATAATAATGATAGTGTAGTTAGTCATACGAATATACCACTTCCCTTAAAAACTGTAAACTGGTGACTTGTAGGTTAGGTGGAAGTGGACCTGTGATTTGGTCATACTTTGCCGAGTTCCAACCTAAAAAGAAACGAGGCTCTATGCTGAGTTCTATGGCTGCCTTCTGGACTCTTGGAAACCTCTTCGTGGCTTGTGAGTAGAGTAAACATTATAAGATGAAGAAATATACTTGTAGTATTTTAGTGAAAGTTTGAGTTATTTACTATGAGTTACGAAGGAAGCCTTTTAATTGTATTTTACAATTATATGCATGTATATTAACAAGCATACATAAGCTTTTTCATTTACTATGACAAACTTTTTAATACATTTGTACTGTGCTATTCAATGGTCCTCTATTCATATTTACAATATTCAACTGAAAAAGTGTGACAAGTTAAGTTTAATCATGATTATACACATGGTGTTTTAATTGGATTTTATTTGGCAATGTTATGATTTGAATTTACTTCCGTATTTTAGAATTTACGATTTTACAATAACAAACAAATTCAATGAAATACAGTTGCTTAATATATTAATTCCAGGGCATCTAATGGGATGAGGAAGACAGTAGTCCTTGAGGTCATATCATGATAGACTAAATATTCTAATCAGATATCCTAAATATTCTAAATAGACTAATCAGAAAGTAAATCCATTCGAATATTAAGTAATAAAATCTTGACTAGAAGTTTTAAATTGTTGTCTGATGGATATCAACAAAGCCTAATTAGTCCATAATTTCAACAGCTCCGAAGTTATTAGAATTCAAAAACCACTAAATAGAAACCGTATTCCTAGTCCTTAAACCCATTAATCTAATGTAGTTAATTTCTAACAGGTCTTGCGTGGCTGGTGATACCTAGTAGTATAGGTTACACGTCACCCACGTTTAAGTACAACTCATGGAGAGTATTTTTGATGATCTGTTCAATGCCTTCCTTCATCGTCGCCATCCTTCTCTACTTCCTCCCCGAGAGTCCGAAGTTCTTACTGGCTCATGGACAGGAAGAGGAAGCGATGGCCGTCTTCCGGAGGATCTACTCCATCAACACCAACCGGAGTCCTGAAGAATATCCGGTGGGTAGATTATCTGATGATGAAGAGCTCTATGGTATAAATAATAGTGATGAATGTTCTGCTTGAATAATGAGTTGCTATCTTTATGCGTTTGGGGAGCGAGTTGCTATTGTTTTAATACATGTTACATCGGTCCCTGAGAGCTTCAGTTAAAATCCTTGCAATCACATAGGCTAAGTGCTACTGTGAGCCGGAAGTAATGCAAACAGGGATTTTGGATACTGTACTTTAATACTTTACTTTGAAATGTCAAGCATATCGAATGTAGATATTTGAAGAAGATTATGAATGGAGATGAGTGTGGGATGAGTGGCGCGATCTTGTTGTCCTGTGACAAGACTGTTAATTAATATCCCATACAGCCAATGACAACTAAGGGACCTACACTACAGTTGATAGTGGAATCAGAACCAAATTTTTGACATTGTAATTAAATAATTTGTCTAATTATCAGGATAGTACTGTGGATAGTCGTAGTACTCGTTAGTGCGGACATTAATCTACACCAGAGAGTATCACATACACAGTGCAGGCCTAGGATGTGACTGTGGGATATCAAAACTATGTTTAAGACGTTAACAAAAAAATAATATAATTTCTATGATAAAACACGTAGTAGAACCAGAAATAATTCAATATTTATCAAATGTTATCTTGTAAAAACAACTCTCATTGACTAGAGTTCCCAAAAACCTGTTTCATCCTATAAGCAAACGTTTGTTCAGCAGTAAAAAATATTGGAGATGTATATACATTTAATAATAAATGATTAAGAACGGAAATGGACAACCAAGTTTGTTTATAAATTATAAAATATTATAATATAGAATTTTTACCTTAGTCAACCTACACCTAGGTGTTTGCTATTACTTAATATTCTTTCAAACCACAAAAACATTGTTGAACTACAAATCACCACGCAGTTTATATCAGTAGCCTATATGCTACAAACTATTTTTGGAAAACGTAGGCCTATAATATAAGATTATTGCTAGTCGGAATTGATTTAAAAAAAGTGAAAATGATATTCTTAAAAACAGGCCTAATGTTATAAGTCACTGTAAGCACTTAAGTCTTTGAATACCATTAAATAAACATTTTTCAGTATTCCTGTAGTCAAATTCATTATATTACGTAAAATATATGATAATGAACATATCACAACATACTGAGTAATACCACTAAGAAAATAATAAACTCAACATGTGTATTAAATTGAAGGAAGAAAAGCACATAACAATACTTCTCAACTAGGTTTTCACACTTGGATAACATTTTCAGGTTAAACAACTTATTCAAATGGATTCATTCAACGAACGGAATGGAGACCCGAGCAAGCACTTCAACGCTTTTACAACAATGATGCAGGAGATTGGGGAGAACACTAAGGCGTTGTTTGTGTCTCCGATATTACGTTTAACACTCATCTCCGTCAGCATAAACCTCACGTTTCACATCGGGTAAGTGACTGTTTCATGCTGGGTATTCCTCGTTCACTTTCAGACAGAAATAGAAAATGTAATAATTCGACTGATCTTTTCTTATATTTTAGTAGTTTACTATCGTGTAAGTATTCACTGTTCAAATTGGTTCAAAATAAAATAGTTTTTATCAAACATTTTTTTCACAAGGTTAAATATATTTTTTATTTTAATTTTTGTCTAGATATAATAACGATTTGGTATCCATACATAACTTACTTTACATCAGGGATATTAGAACATGAAACCTTATGAATTAGAAAAATAAAAAATGACGTCACTGGTCAGAAAGTAAAAAAAATCTTTGTATTAGTATTTCAATGGAATAGGAAAAAAAACTTCCATACGAGATGTAAAAGAGTAAGATTCGCCCCAGTGGCGTAATTTGTTTATGTTTATGATACATATTGCTTTCTGCTCTCATATCCGTAATATATCTACATTTATGATGCATTTTTAAAACACAGCGTTCATGAATCGAGCTTAAATTCAAGTAATATTGTTTTAAATTGCCATTTAACATGCATTTAACATGTAACATGCTTGAAATCAAAAGTAAACAGGTGTGTCCTTGGTTAATCTAAGCCAATTAATTAACGCCTTTTAGTTAAATTAATTACTTATAGTTCATGTAATGTCCTACTGCATACCCATTCATTTTTGTCATTTCCAGATACTACGGTTTGCTCATGTGGTTCCCTGAGTTGTTTAATCGTTTTGACGAGTTCTCGCGAGAGAAAGGCAACATCTCGGCTTCGGTTTGTGAAGTGACAGAGTACGTGGTCACCAAGGGGTCCAAGTCAGGAGGTCCCTGCAACGATAAGATACCAAGCTTTGTCTTCCTAGAGTCGCTCATCACAGTATCTGCAGCCATTCCCGGAAATATCATTGCGGTAGTCTTCATGGACCAGCTTGGCCGCAAGTTTTTCCTAGGTTTGTATACTTACAGTCCTTGAACATTAACAAATTAATCTTGGAATTATTACGTGTTTTTCAGAGATACAATGGTATTTTTAAACAAAATAATACTACACTTTGTGTTGGGAGGTTTTAATTTTTGTACTCACAACTTTCAATATATCTGTATTTATTTTTAGTCAATAATTTAAAACTTGTATATTCATATTCAATATATGAATTATTGAATTTATAATAATTCTGATAATAGTTCCGTTACATTCTGTATAAAGTTGCAGATTAAAAATATACTAATAAAAATAAACTATACATTAAAACTAAAAAGGGTTCAACTGAAGTATTTAAAACACATACAAATACATTTTCCCGAGTTTGCTACGCCATGCGATAAAAAAAAAATCACACCCAATTATTTACACTGTTGAAACTGCAACTTTGATGATCGTTTCCATTTATAGATACCTATTTAAACCATATTGATTTAGTTTAATTAAATTAAATTTAAACTTAAGGCGGTTCATCTCTAAACGTAGGTGACAATAATACATTTTTTAATGTTAAAACTTTAAACCACACCCAGTTTTACAAATTCGTTAATAGAAAATATGTTTTAGATTAAAATAGGAAAGCTACCATGTGACTAACAACGTGGTTTCACTGTTATAAAATGCTGCAATTTGGTCATTACGTTCAAAACTCTCATTTTGGTAAAAGTCTTTATTTAACTCTACATTTAAGAGGGCTTCATTTGTTTCACAAACACAAGTTTAACTTAGTAACTGATGTAACTTCTTCTCACGAACTCTATGAAAGAGGGTGTAAAAATGATTGCAAGTCACTTAAACATACAAAAGCCATTCTACTAACTAAATGAATTCTGGGGGAGGAATAGGTTTCGTTTAGTTAGTAGTGTGTTCCCACTCTGTTTTTTCCAAAGAACCTATATGTTCGTGAGTGACCCGTATTTTTCTTCAAAATGGTGAATGTTCACAAACTGGAAAATGTTTGACAAAACCACTAAATTTAGTTAGCCTGCATAATCTTCTTTTTCATTGAACTTTTAAAATAACTATTCGTCATACTGCAGCAAAAGCTGGTGTTTTCAATGCATACCGTAGGGAGTAAAAATGAGCTAGACTCGATGAGTCCAGCAGTTCATTTGGTTCAATTGTTAACCTCGATTGTGAGAAATCAATGACTTAGAAAATATTGGTTGTATCGAAAGTTTTAGAACGATTTAGTTATTTATTTCATAGTTTGTGACTGGATATTAAATTAGTTTTCACCACACTATGATGTTTTTGGCTGTATTACATACGTTAATTGGTGGCTGAAAGTTACGTTTTGCTGGCCATGCCAGCTGTCATCGTAATTTGGGGACCGAGCAGGTTTTTACAGGCCGGGGCCGCAAAATCAGCTGTCTGCTTACTTACTTAAAACATGAATGCATTTTAAATACACAATCAAAATCCATAGCATTGCAATAGAATTGTGTTATTGTCACCGTTGCCTAGCAACTATTTATTTTTATTTTTGCTGATTCCTCAAATGATTTCTTCACATAACCTTAAAGTTGTAGTTGAGTTGACTATCAGTGTGCATTATTATAGTGGTGAATAGTGGTAATAGGGTATAGTGTGGTGAAAAATAGCGTTCTTACCACGGACCGAAATGGTTTTGCAGCTCTCGATCGATTTAAGTTCTCGACTTCGTTTCGAACTTAAATACTATCTCGAGCCGGCAAAACCTCATTTTCGGCCCTAGGTACGAAATATACTATTACCTTGCATCTGAGAAGAAGGGAAAAAGATTACCGTGAATATCTAAGAATTTCAATAAATAGTATATTTCACTATTAGTCACGAAATGGGACTTTCGGGACGGGTATTGAACGATACCATTTATCACGATGAAAAAACCTACTTCATCAAACTTTAAAAAAATATCTTATATTTCGTAATTTATTCATTTTTATAACCTAAACACAATACGGCTGTACAAGTAATTTTAGTAAAAAATTCTGCTGATTATAACTTTGTTGATGTCAGGAAAAGTATTGTTTGTTTAGCGAAGGAAATGTTTATGTAATGAAAAGTCAGCTGATCCCGATTTGTTTTTGGTGTATGGAAATTGAAGATTTTCGAAGATCCCAGATGTATGGAAATGGACTATTTTCAAATACAGAGTAAAGAAAGTGTCTTTACAGCCCTAGTGCATCTTCCGTTAAACTTAAGCTCGTGTCGAAAAGAGTACTTTTACGCCCTAGTGATAAAATATACTATATTCTTTCCAGTATTCAGCACGATGTTCTCTGGCCTGTGTTCCACCGCCATGTATTTCGTCCGCAGCAAAGAGCAGAATCTGTTTGTCTCTGCAGTCTTCAGCGGTGTCATCAGCTGCGGTAACGCTGCTCTGGACTGTCTTATCACGGAAATATTCCCAACAAACTTAAGGTATAAAAGCTTTCTATTGTGCTAGCATGAATGAATTCAAGGCAAGATGCAGGGTAGTAAAATGAGAAACAAAAATATGGCAATTACAATATAGCTAAGCCTAAGGTTCCATATTGGGTTTTTAGATTAAATCGTATAGGCCTATGTATACAAATGTATTTACTGTTTTATATCTTACAAAAGGTATAATTGAAGATATTTAACAGGCCTCTATAATCTAAAACCTAGAATTTCTTTTTTCATTTCTCTGAAATGTAATGTTTTATACCTATGTTAACAGATTGTACGTGAAAAAAGTATTTACCTTTTATTGTACAAACGATTAGGTCAATTTATAAATGTATTTAAATAATAATGATAAAAACAATTGAATGATTTTAATAATAAACGTGTGCCATAAATAGTATTAAATTGTTTAAAAAATATTACATATTTTATCATTTATATAGTAGTAGTCATAAAAAAACAACTCTTTCATCCGTCTAAAAATGACTGTGATTTGTAGATCTTTCTCCACAAAAAACCACGCAACAATGAGATATTGTTTAATTTGTACAACTCTAATTTTCGGCAAGAAATTAGGCGCAACTATCTTGCCTACTACAATATTTAATTGGAGTTTTACAAATTCAGATCATAATAAAGATATTTGAAACTATTGATATTTAAGGTGGTTAAATAGTTTCGAACCGTTGATAACATATTGTACCTGTGTTATCCAGAGCTACCGGCGTGGCAGTGTCCATGGTGGCAGCCAGACTGGGTGGTATAGTGGGAAACATAGTTATAGCAACTCTGCTGGACTTGTACTGCCCTGCACCTACGTTTATAGTGGCGGCTCTTCTCATAGGTAGGTATTAAGATAAACATAAAGAGTAAAAATAAGCCTATGGTGTATTTCCCTTATACCCCTTCTGTCTAATGCAACAAAAGAGGAGCTTTAAGTGTATACATAATAGGTACAGTAGTTGGTGTTTGTTATATACTAGGTGACCGTCACCTTAAAGTCAACATATCATATTCTGTCTCTGATATTCCTCGAAATTTGAATGGGGCTCATTTACAGGAGAAGGACTGTTACGTCTGCTCTTACCTAATAATATTAAACGTGAAGTTCTTTCTTGATCGAGGCTCTACTGGCTAATCAGCCAGCTACAATTTTGTCAAATTATTTCTCAGACCAATCACTTGTTTCATTTACAGGGGGACTATTATGTCTGTTCTTAGCTAATGTTAAACGTGAACCCCTTTCTTGATCAAGACTATAGTAGCGAATTCGGACAACTACAAGTTTGCCACATTATTTCTCAAACTGATCACTTGTTCCATTTACATTAGGAGAACATAAATCAAATCAAATCAAATATGCTTTATTCATAAAGTACAGTGTTGTACATTGAATGGTGTCAACTAAATCTATCTTCATGTGTTTCTATAAGACTGCTCTCAGCTAAGACTACTCGTGAACCTTTTTTGACCAAATATCTCCAATAACAGCCAACTTTGACTTTGTCACAATAATTTCTCAAATGTTCGCATGTTTCATTTCAAGGAGGAAGAGTATTATGTCTCCTCTTGATTAAGACTACTCAAGAAACTCTATTTGGCAAAATATCTCAAAGAAAACCAAGCTAAATTTACTTTTATCAAAATGATTTCTCTATCTGTCCATGTTTTTCATTTACTGATAGAGGACTGTTATGCCTGCTCTCATCCAAGCCTTCTTGTAAATTCTTTTCTATCTAATCATCTCCAAGCTACCTCAAACCATCTTTATTTTTGACACATTATATTTCTCAAACTATCATGTGTTTTATTTACAGGAGGAGGACTACTATGTCTGCTCTTACCTAACACTACGCGCGAACCTCTATCTTGACCGAGGCTCTACTGGCTAAATCGGCCAACTTCTACTTTGTCTCTCGCATTTCTTACCTCTGTATTTAAGTATTGTAAGATTCAAAAGATAAGTTGTTATATATCTCTTACAATGGTGCCAATGTGGCTCTTCAAGTTGTTATGCTTCTTGCATAGCTAATATTTTATCAATCCAATTTGCTTGCACTGCAATGGTTTACTAAATGTGTGACACATTCTTTTAAAATTCATGACTTCATATCCATATCAACTGTATTTGAATGTATACAAGTTTTTGTAATAAAAACGCAGCTTTTATATCATAAAATCGGTAGCTGTGTGGAAAAATGCAAAAGATAGTTCAGAATATTCGTTTTGCAGAAGCTTGAACTTTGAAGGTAGCCTGAAAAAGACCATGATAGCTTACGTATTAGATTAGGGTAATGGATGGTTGAACGAATTTCCGTACACTATCTAACTACATAATTCTAGTGTATATAGTGAATGCTCCAAAGCACATCGTGGTTGACAAGTAAATGCTGGAAACTAAAGTGAAAGTGTATGTTGAAAGTTAAGTTCTGTAGCTGTAAAAATGTAATCCATGATGAATTGAAATTATATCACCAAAAGTAGAGTCCAATCAAAACAAGAAAATTGTACACCCAAGGCATTGATTGAGGAGAATATTTCAGATTTACCTTATTGATTTCTACAAGCCATTTTGTACATGATCACGTCACACCATGAGATATTTGTAATATAAGATTTAGTTTTTTTATACAAACATGAAACATAATTTTAATATTGTGATTGTATTTTAGTACTTGTATAAACTAGACGTTAGGGTTTTCTTAGGTAATTGTAAACCTTTTGTATACTTACTATTATCTATTATTTTAATGCTGCAACAATGTAAATTTTATCAAACAAGTTTATTTTAAAACTCTCTTACTTTACGCATTTGTTACCTGGAGGTAAAGTAATAACAACATTTCAACGTTTGGTCCATACGTGAGAATAATTAAACCAAACATTTTATAACTTGACTATTATATACACTACTCTTTACTTCATTTTAACTTTCCAAAATATGTTTAGTATTTTTGTGATTACACGTTTAAAAGATTGATTGAAAACTTTTAATGACAACTCCTTGCAAATAAATGTTATATAAGACTTTGAATTGAAGAAAAAATAATAATCCATTTATTGTTTGAGTTTTTATAGAAAACAAACGTTTGTTTCCATTATTAGGGTTATTTAGAAATACTGTACACTGTATATACTAATAGCTGTTATTTTAATTTCAACAAAACATCACCGTAAAACCAATTGATCAGAAATTTTTATTATACAGGGTGAATTAAAAACGTCATAGTAAGTTTTAGCAATTTAGTTAAAACATAATTTATCGAGTTACCCATTCTAATAGTAAACAAGTGTTAGTTAATATTTATTGTTATTTGTTATTGTTAAACTATGTCTAATATATTGAATAAATAGTCAGAATCTTGTATTTTATCAATTGTTACTTCGTTATTTACCTAACCTGTTTCGTAGGTTAAAATAGATTAAGTAGCCATATTTAGGGGAAAAGGCTGTTGGCATAGTGTATCCTTTTTTACTATTTTGTCTAATTCTTATTTCGTTCGATTAGGTGATTGGGGATGAGGACGTTGAATAGATCCTATTTTATTCGGCATATTTTCATTAATAATCTGTTAGTTACCTCTTTAGCTCTTCACTTTGATATCTTCTTATTTGTTGCACTCCTTTACCATATATTAAATCGAAAGCCGTCAATGTTCTTCTGTTACATTTGTACACACTGGTTTTTCTTCTGAAAGTTCACATAACATTGTGCGAATAATAACTTCTTTAACATAGACTTTTAATCATTTAGTATTATAGCTGTTTTTTTTTCAAACTATTAATCTCTCTCAAATAATCTTGAATGTCATTGAAAAAATCGAGAGTATTTTAAACCTTCCAATGACAGCTAAAACACAATTACAAAATATCAACAGAACTGTAGAAAACCATCTAGAAAATTCTAGAAAGTTCTTCAATATACTTTCTTAACCAAATACAATTGTGCATTTGTATAGTTCATTTGGAAGGATGTAACATTCTAGAGATTCCAGACTATTTTTGAAAACTATGAGATTTGGAATATTTTTACGCACACGCATATTTACACTATTAACTACAGTCTTGAACATACAAAACTTCCTCTATGAAACACATACTCGTATAATCTGTCAATTAAGACAACCCTTTCATCAAAAATAATTCAGCCATAAAAACATACAGAAAAACATATACGAACAGCTCCTTTATACTAATATATTACATCTAATAAGTGTCACTTTATCCATGCCATATTTTATAGTACTCAAATTTATGAAAAAATGTGATTTCAAGTGCAACCTAAGCAAATTAAAATAAGAGTAAACATCAGGACTCTCAAACATAAACACGCATGAAAACACGCCAAAAACTCATTGTGTTGGGTTATGTGAAAGTTTATTAATGAATTAATTAAATCTGAATGAATTGACATACTGTAATTAGAAAATATGTTGTTGAAGGAACAAGTTTATTATGGCTATAAATTATGACTGAAAGAATGTTGAGTTTTCTTTATAATACAAACTATCATGCGTTTGTTTGTGAATAATGTAATATATGTCAAATCAAATGGATGGCAATTCATGCTAAAAGGAGTCACCAAAAAAGTTTGAACACTAAGGGCCCTATTACACTAGGTCACCAGGCGACGTCACCGGTGGCGTCACCGGTGACCTGACTGGTTGGTGGGCATTGGTTCTTATGGCGCCTATTACACTAGGGTCACCGGTTGCGTCACCAGCCTTTGGTGACTGACCGGTGACTCTGCCCCGTGACCAGACGAGTAACCACTGGTGACCAAGATTTGTCGCTGGGTATTGAATCAAATGGCACATATTACACACTGTCACCGCGGTTGCGTCACCACTGTATTTTTGTGTTCTGCAAGTTCAGATTGTTTAATGCCAGTGTAGTGAGTAGACGTAATGTAAAAAAATATGAAGAAATGCTACTTATTGCTCTTTTGTTGAGGAAAAGGAGGAGACTAGCAGAGCTCTTTAACACCATCCTCTTGGTTTTTCCCTTTCTTGGTATCTTTTCACCACTACATTTTATACTAGACTGGCTTTCTTTCACTGAGTCGTCTTCCCTTTTTCCCTTCCCTCCATCTCTTCCCCGCTTATTCACTAATTTTTTAGCACTACACATTTTTTAAACTGAAGAGTAATAACTGAAATATCTATATAACTTAACTATAACTATATAACTTAAACTGAAGGGTAATTTAAGAGAACAGAAGACGCGAAGGTACTTTTTGTCCTTCGACGAGGTGACAGCGCTGAATGTATGCAGACAATGGAGTGGAGGAAATTTGGGGGTTGGTCTCACTCCTGGTGACTTCTCTGGTGTTGAGGCTGGCTGCCCGTACAGTAACCGGCGACGTCACCTGTGACGCCACCGGTGACGTCGCCTGGTGACCTAGTGTAATAGGGCCCTAACTGTAATTAATATCTAGGAGAATGAGACATATGGCAGGGTTGGTCACACATCACCGGACAGGCGTCGTGCGTCACCAGTCTGTGGTCGAAACTATTGGGTCTAGAAATAAAAAAAATAGCTAAATAAGTTCGTTCCTAATGCCTCTTAACACCCAAATTAACTTTAAGTTGTAAAAAACACGTTGTCTCTTATAAAATGTGTTCTTAGGCACCCAAGCAATATACTTTCAGGTTTCTATAATTTTCAGGATTGATCAGTTGCATTTTATGGGTTCGCAGCAAAAACACAACAATGAACACAACAATGGGTTTTCGCAAACATCAGGATTGCAGAAAAAAAATGCATCAATGAGAAAGTCAGTCTATTTATTCGTCGCAAACCAGTTCCTTATAAAACACTAAAATATGTCTGTTTTAGTCAATATTAAAATATTTTTGGATGTGGAGTGACCGCATTGCAATCCATAAATAGATATTGTAAAGCAGTTCCTGTCTTTAGGGAGGTACCCTGCTCAGTCCCTGGTACACTGTTTGTTACAATCCCTGTCACTTCATACCGATAACTGGTCAATGTATTTTTGAATCTGTTAATCCTATAATCTAAAACAAGTGTATGCACGAGAAAACCTTTTTTCTGTCCGAGGATTTTTTATTTCTTTATTCAATGTGGGGTATTTGGCTACAGGGAATCAATTGGAGTTGGTCACCAGGCTGAGAAAAATCCAGTTTTCGTCCTACAGCCCGTGCAAGTGCGCATGTTATCGACAATACCTTTTTGTAGCTCAATTTAACAAAAAAAGCTGATACAGATTATATTTTTACTGTCATCATTTTGATTTACTTGTAAACAAAAATAACTGTATTGGTTAGTTTGGACTAAACGTTTTAAAGAATAGTTATATTCAGTTTGGTTTACATAGGTAACCAAACCTATAATCTTGATTTTATTCTGTATACTTGCGTGTTTGCTTTTTATTATTTGATGTAGTTTGACTTGTGCATGGTAAATTGTAATGCTTGATATAACTTAGCCTATTGTACAATGTGTGTTTAATGGCTAAATAAAATGATATGATGATTAATGATTTAATGATTCAAAGGTACACATTATTACTGTTAAATAATTTCAAGGTCCATTTACAATATTAGGAATGATACGCGGTAGACCTCTTAAGCGACTATACATGATCCGAAAGGGAGAGAAGCTGAATAGATCATCAGGAAACAAATTTCACCTCTTCGTCTACAACATAGCCAGTTCAAACAAGCTCATACGTCTCATTAAATGTCTCAAAACCTCGACCAAGTCGCTTATCGAATAATAAAATGAGAGAATTTTTTAAGAACTTATGGCTGCGCAAAATAATGAAGAACAGACCGATCATCTTGAGCAAGAGTGTCGACGAACCGCTGCTCGACGTTTGGAAGAACGTCAGCGCACTACAATTCCTCAACCCTCTAAAGTTGCCATGTCAGCGGATTTGGAATATTCACAGTTGGAACCGTTTGACGTAGCATGAATGCACACGACGTGTGTCCGAACTGATCCGCGGTCAGAGGGTAGTTCTTCAACATCCAACCGATCCTGAAATGTGGCAGGTAGAAAATGGGTTCGCTTGAAACATCCAGTTTTATCCGCGAGGCATGGAGGATGGCCTCTACTCCCCGTAGCATACAGGTAGTCTTGAGCACACTATTCCGTAGCATTTAATTAGTATTGCCCATAAATTCAAAACGTAAAAAAACTAAGAGCTTTCAGTTTAAACAAGTGTACAGTTATTACGTTAGTGGTACGAAATGTTATAACTCAAGTCACGGTACTGCAAATACAGTAATCTAAATGCTATGATCTATGAAACGGGACTTTAGACAGTTGATATTATTTCAGTGATTACATTTTTTCGGTTTGTAATACAAATATTTTTGTAAATGATAAAATGTGTCTGATCAATCCGAGCAAGGCTCGGTCCCCCGGTACTTAATAATTAATAATTGGCCTACAGAAATAATGTAGTTCTACATATTTTCGAGGGATGGGAGTAGGCATACCCCAGCCGCAGCAAACCTGCTAACTATGCGAATTTCCATCTGCCTGATTGGATTAACATTTCAATGTCCCCTTTAAAATGTAACATTTATTCCCTACTAACGTTACTTTAACGAGTACTTAGGTTTGCTGAAACAGGGAGGGTAAAAAAGTGTTTTTTTTGTTTTGTTAAACTTTAGTTGTTTGGTATGAAATAAATGAGTTGCCTAAAGTAGATCAAAATATGTTTATAAACAAGCAAACTACTAATGTTTACTTATTCTTTATAAGAATAACATGGGAATTTAAAATTTACATTTTTTTTTATTTTCTCCGTAACCATTAGGCACATAGTAACACTTCAATATACTAAATTATTTGTTTTTTAAGTTCTACAAAACGGGTTGGAAATAAATTGCTAAATTTTATGGTGTTAGGGTCAAAAATGAGAAAAACAAATTTTTACCCCATAAAACCCCCATAAACTCACGTTTCCATATTCCGATTACGCTAGTTCGCGATCTCGTTCGAATAAATGTTGGTTACAAGTTTATAAAAAATTTCATCAAAATCAGAAATTTTTTGCTGAGTTATCGTGCTAACAGACACTTATATATATATATATATATATATATATATATATATTTGAACGGATAGTTTTTTTGGCCTCTAGGGACCTCAAAACGAAAAAAGTAAATCGGTCCCGCGTCTAGGTCTTACCATGAGTACTACGGTAATAGCTTATTCCCTAAATGGGAAATTCGCTAAAATAAAGACTTACTAAACAAATATATGTTTGACAGAGATTTAAAATTTTTTTTTTGTTAAATGGATCCCCTTTCACTGTACACTGCCGTTGTGAAAATTTCACATACCTTTATAGGCCTAATTTTCCGCGAATGTCCA